CGCGCGAGAGTCGCTGGCCAGGAGCTCCGCGTCGAGCGGCTGCGCATCGACGACGACGACGACGACGGCAAAGTCGCGTCTGCGGCGTCCCTGCCGTGCGGCGCTTCGGGCAGCGGCTGCCTCGGTGCAGACGGGCGGCGCTGACCGCGCGGCGCAGAGCCAAGCGGGGCCGTTGCGGGCTCGACGGCGCCGGATCGCGGCGACGACCAGGCCGTGAACACCGACTCGTCCCCTTCGGTGGGCAGCAGCAGCGGCCGACGGATCGACGCCGAGCTGTCCATGGTCGCAGCCAGCGAGCGCATCGAGCGCGACTCGGACCGCGAGTCGATCGACTCGTTGCGAAAGGGATCCAGGTAGCCGTCAAATTCAGTGTCCTCGGTGCGGATCACGATGCTCGGGGCGCGCAGCGACGTCTCGCCGTCGTCTTTGCCACCGAAGCTAGTGCGGCTGCCGCCAGCGAGGTCGTGCGGCTCATCGGACGTCAGGCTGGGGTCCACGTCGCTGTCGACCGACTGGGCTAGCGAGACGAGCGAGTCGTTTGCGGCGGGCTGCATCGCAACCTCACGCTGCCGCTGCCGCTGCTGCTGGCGCTCGCCAGCGCGGCCGTCTACCTCGTTCTCGGAGTCGGAGCTGTCGATCGACATAAACGAGCGGCCCGACACGTGCTCGGCAGCACGCCGGGGCTGCTGCCGCCGCCGCTGTTCGCGCCGAGCAGCGACGGTGACGGCGACGTCAATGGCCGGCATCCCATCGAAGCGCGTGCGGTCGGCGCAGGGCGGCGACGACGAGAAAAACGTCGACGATGTCACGTCGCTCAGCGCGAGCGAGGAGCGTGCGGGCGTCCATGGGTCGTCGTAGGCGTCCTGGTCGTCCGACAGGCTGCTGGCCGACTTGGACGCCACCGACAGCAGCAACGGTGGAGGAGCCGGTCGTCTGACGTTGTTGGCGAGCGGCGATCGTCGCGCCTCGAATCGCGCCTCGGAGGGCGCACTTGCTCGGGCGGAGACGAGGTCGGCAGGCGGCTTGGCGCCAAAGATCTTGTCGAGCTTGGCCAGGCGTCGCGCTTGGGCGTCGACCGCAGATGCGGGCTGCGCTGGTGGACCAGACCCCTCAGCGCGCGGGCTGGTCGCCGGCGGCTGGCTGTCGAAGGCGGCTTCCCGACGCTGCTGGCGGGTCGCGCCGGGTGCCACGAGGTCGACGGGCACCGTCTCGCCAAGCCATCTCGACATCTTGACCAGCTTGCGCCGACGCGCTTCCCGCGACGACTCGACGACAGCGGCGCCGGCATCGTCTTCCTCCCGATCGCCGTCTGCGAGCTGGCGGACCCTGGTGGCGGCCGTATCGTAGGACCCGCCGAGGGAGTCCGGCTGGACCACGACAAAGCCGCCGGACTCGATCGACATCAGCCGCGGCGTCGCCTCGTCATCGCCGTCGGACATCTGCCGTTCGTCACCTCGGTCGCCCTCGTCGTCGAAGTCGAAGTCGCGCGCGCGGGCAATCTCGACGCTGGCCAGGCTGACCTCGTCAGACACCGGCAGCCCGGCCCGAGCGCCGCGTGACGGTGCGCCGCTCGCAGAGGCAGCGCCTGCAAAGGGGTGATGGATACCAAGGATGCTGGCGGCCTTGGGGCTGACGAGGTCCTGGGCGGTGGCTGGACTCGCGATGATGTAGACAGAGTCTCGTTGAGCGGCGCGACTCGGCCCTTCATGCCCTGTGGCGGCGGGCGGCGAGATGATCGGTGTATCGGGCGTCAGCGACGCCGCAAGGACCAAGCCGGATCGCTGCCGCGACAAGGCGCACTTACCCTGGTTGGAAGCGTGAGGACCAGCGACGTTCCGAACGCCAGCCCCTGGCGCGCCCTCGGGAGCGTGCAGCAGCGGAAGCGACGACGTGGTCGATGGCCGGCGAAAGTCGGTGCCGTGGTGGTGGTGGTGATGATGATGGTGGTGATGGTGGCCTTGCAACGGCCGCACCTTGTCCATGTTGGAGTCGACGCTGCCTCTGCGTCGCAGGCGCGGGAACGGGTTCGACTTGCGCACCGTCGTCGACCGAGCAGCCACCGTAGATGCTTTGCTGTTACCGCCTCCGCCGCCCCCGCCTACCTCGCCGCCGCCGCTGCTGTTCTTGGGCTGGGCGTCCCAGCATACGGCCTGCAGCGACTCTTCGCCGAGGAGGTGGGCGAGTTTCCGCATGCGTCGCACCTGGTCGCGCCGCTGCTCGGCGGTCAGCTCGTTGCAGGTCGAAGGTCTCGGCAGGACCACGATCGTTGACCGCCGCCTCGAAGCCGAGGCCGTCTTGCGATGGCCGCCGTTCGTCTTTGCGGCCGTCGTTGCGACGTCTGTGGCGGTGTGGGACCTGTGCGACTCGGGCAGCAGCGGCGCCCGGCAGCTCTCGAGGCTCATCTGCATGCTCACCGGGCTCAGGCTGCCGGAAGCGGGGCCATCGACCGAAGCCGTGTGGCTCGAGAGGCATCCGGCGGTCAACACGGACCACTGCGACAGCCTCTCGCCACCGCGCGCCTCCGCCTTCGCTGGAGCGGTCGCCGTCCCTGCGGCCCGGTCGAGGTCGCGCGACGGCCCGGCGGCCAGCAGCACGGCGGAGCTGAGGCGGCGCGACGCCCCATCCTTGGGCAGCGCGGCGAGGACGAGCGACGAGGGCGGTAGCGACGTGGTGCGGTCCGGGATCACGCACGACGGCTGCGGCCCGCTCTCGAGCCCCTTGACCGGGTCGACGCGGTCCACGCGCCGCGAGCGGTT